TAGGAGAGATATTTTTCAAATAATTTGGTTGCCAATTTATAAATGAAGACTTGCTAAAAGGAAGGATATGAGGGAATTAGATGACTTATTTTTTCTGAGCTCAATTCAGTCTTTAGACTTTCTTTTTAAAATAATCTGATAACTCTATGGAGAGGCATGTGGCATGCTGAAATTAAATAAATCTGGGTTCAAATGCCATCTCAGTCATTTTCTGGCTGTGTGACTTCTGGAAAATGACTTTATATTTCTTTGTCTGCATTTATTCATCTTTAATACCTACAAGGTGCATCTATATTGTAATTTTTGATGCAGATAAAATGATTTAACATATATAGAAAATTTCTGGCACGTGAGTTCTTAATAAAATGTGTCATTAATATGTAAGGTGAATAAAGCTTCATTGTAAACATTTCAGATGAGATATTTTAATTAAAATTAATGTGGCTGATAAGACAATAAGAAATCCAAAAGTCAGAAAAAGGAGGTTGACCAGGCATCTGAACCAAGTTTCAAGGGAGTAGCAGAACTTGAGCCTTGTAAGAGAAAATACACCATAATGCCATTAACTGGTGCTATAATCCCCATTCTACAGATGGTAAAATGTTAAGTAACTTGCCTGGGTTGCACAGCTACAAAGAACAAGAGCTGGGATTTGCATCCTTGTCTACCTGACTTGGGAGCCTGAATTCCTAATCACTCTCCTCTGCTTTGAGCCTTTATCATCATAGCCATGTGAACTCTCATGGCTATGTGCTTGCTCTATCAGAACAGAATAACCACGCAGTAGCCTTCTACACTTTACCTATGGGATCTATCCTCAGTTTGACCCAGACTCTCTTGCATATGCAACCTTCCAAATCTGACCTCAAGATACTCCTTCTACTTGCACATCCCTACACTAACCTAGGGTGAAATATTTCCTCAACTACTATTTTTAGTGCTCCTCACAGGGTGATAATTATCAGTAATTGTCACTGTATGATATCTTTTCTGACTGTACACAAGATTATTTGCTACACTTGAAGCAGCAAGTGGTTGTTTATTCTTCTTTTTTCCTTCTGTGCAGATACCTATGAAAATGGAAATTATTTCTTGGCAAACTTTACAGCAGTTCAGGTAAAACTCTTTTACTGAATCTTTTAAATCCTTTCCTGGTTAACTACAGATTAAACATTATCAGTTAACTACAAAAATATAATGTCCTACATCTTAATAGGAGGTCCTTTTTGCCTTTACTTTTATAATCCAGGTCTGTGGACATTAAAATAAGGAAGAAATAGTCATGTATTTTGGTAATTATCCAGTGAGCCATAACTCTATAAAAAGAAACTTGGAATCTATACAATGCTGGGGAAAAATGGGTCCTTAAATGTATAACATTTTTTCCAAAGATAAGAAATGTTCTGGCTAATAAAATTTTGAAGGATAAATGCTATATAAGCTATCTATTATGCAATAATGCTGCATCACAGACAACCTCAAAACCTCAGTGGCATGCAACAATGAGCATTTATTTAGCTCATTAGTTTGCAGAGTTCAGATGATCTGGGTTGGCCTTGGCTGATCTTGGCTGGCTTACCTACATCAGCAGTCAGCCATGGATCTGTTGAGCTACTTGGATAATCTTGGCTGTACTTACTCACATATCTTGGGGGTCAGATGACTCCCAGATAATCTAAGATGGCCTTGTGGAAAGGCCTGAGCATAGCCTTTTCATGATTATGGAAGAGGGCAAAAATAGAAGGGGAAATGCCTGAGTACTTTTAAAAAATCTCTTGCATCAAGTTGACTAATTTTCCATTAGCAAAGCAAAGCCACATGGCCAAGTCCAGAGGCAGAAGAGGGACAGAATACCTCATCCAGAGAGAGAGAACATGGCAAAATGGCCTGGAAAAGTAAATGGATAGGGATGAATACTTGTAGATGATAATGCAATCAATGTACCTTGTATGTTAAATGATTCCATGGATAATCTATATAATTAGAATATGAGAGGGATCATTCCATGTCAAACCTGGAATTTGCTACTCTATAATTTTTTCCTGTTGACTTTAACTAAGGAAAAATATAGCACAAAGCTATTGTCTCTTTTCTGTAACAGTGCTTGATGTTTGAAGATGTCTCTCATGTATTCCTTCTGTTTTCTCTCCTTAGAATTATACATCACCAGGCTAATTGCACATTTCTTCTGTTTTGTACTTATACTGGTTTCTAGATTTGATTATTCTGGACTCCAGTTAACCTAGATTTCTCTTAAAACACAGTGTCCAGGATTGAGAGCATATTTTAGAGCTGCACTATCCAAT